GCCACCTGATATTTCTTCACCAACTTTACTCTTTTTGGAGATGCAACTCGCAACACATGAACTCCCAAGGTAAACGTACATTGTCTGTGCTATATCCAGACCGCCTGCGCCGCACATCCGTCGTGGCGCAGCGCGTAGCCTTGTTCTGTGTAAAGGTGGGCCTGATCTAGCTACCATAGGCTAAGCAGGCGCGTAAGATGGCCCCCCAAATGGATACCCATATGCCTCGAGCGTTCTCCATGTTCGCATTGACGCGGAACAGCACATCAAACTGTAGTTATGTGGGGGGTGTGGCACAGGACTTATAGGAAGCTTATTCCCACTTCCCGTGGTTTTCGATGATTTTCTGGTAGCATTCTGAGATCGCGTTTCTACCCTGGTGGCACGTCATTTGTTTCATACCACAAAGCGCAGCCTCGTCGTTGCCACTGTAACACGTATCGATTTGGAAGAGGCCGCCTCGTGCCAGTCATGCGTATGAGTTGGAGGCGGGTTTAGTGTTTGACTCGACAACTTCAGTGCAGTATCCTACACTCACAAGCAAACGTCTCGCGACTGTATTCAAAATCCCGTATACCATCGCCGTTCACGAAAAACCCGGATCGCCAGAAACTGATACTGACGACACCGACATCTGTTGCCTTTCTCGGCGCCAACAACCATGGAATACTCGAACCCAGAGAGAAATGACAACGCGCCGCTGCGCTTGCTCTCGCTGGATGGAGGGGGTGTACGGGGCCTGTCGTCTCTGTTGGTACTTCAGAACCTGATGGAGAACATAGCCTTGGAAGAGAAGAGGTTAGGAAGGAAAGCCATGAACGACCACGAACCGCTAAAGCCGTGCGACTACTTCGACCTTATTGGTGGCACATCAACGGGTGGCATAATAGCCATCATGCTGTCACGATTGCGACTCGATTGCAAAACCTGCATCGCTGTATACAGTAAATTGGCAGAGCAGATCTTCAAGCACGACCGATCGATAAAGGCATTTGGCATGAAGATCCCCACAGGAGCAAGTCGGTTTTCCGGTGCCGTTCTCGCAAATGCCATCAAGTCTGCGTTGAAAGAGCTAGGCTTCGATCCAGATGAACTGATGTGGGATGAGGCGCTGTTTGAAGAGGTGGATGAAGCGGCTGATCTACCCAGAGACAGCATCTGGGCAGATGCGCCGCCAGCACCGGTAATCACAGAAAGCCCGGTCGGCACACTCAAGAACTCGCTATGCTCTTTAGAGTCAGGTCCTCCTGAAACGGTCGATAGTACGAAGAATTTGTCCACACTCTTTAGCGACAGTCCGTTCGGCCCGCGAAAGCCAATGCGAAGCGCTACTTGGAGGCTACATCACCGGCAATCAGTTCACAAAAAGGCAAACGCAAAGGGGTGCCGCGGCTTTGTACTTACTTCCCTCAAGAACGCGTTAGGCCTTCCCCGAATCCTGTCTACCTACGATCCCAATGACCGCACGACGCGAATCTGGGAAGCGTTAAGAGCTACATCCGCCGCACCGACCTTCTTCGAAGAGATGCAATTTGGTACGCCCAAAGTCACTTATCTAGACGGCGGCGTAGGCTTCAACAACCCATGCGCAGAAGTCGACTACGCGGCAAAAGCACTCTGGGAAGGCCGCTCCATCGGCGTCATAGTCTCCGTCGGCACCGGCCTACAAAGCATACCCAGCGTAAAGAAGATGGCATCATGGCTACCCTTCGGCCTTGGAACAGACATCTCGATAGCCAGCGCACTCACCGGCATGGCAACAAGCACCGCACGCGTCGACAACGAAATGAAGCGCATGTACAACAACTCCGACACCAAATACTTCCGCTTCGACGTCGACCGCGGCCTCGCAGACGTCAGCCTAGAACAATGGATGAAAGAAGACGAAATGGCCTCCCTAACCGAACTCTACATGAACGACGGCGAGCAAATCCGGTCCGCCAAAGACTTTGGCCAACGCATGGCCAAACTCTCCGCCTTACCCCCCAAATTCGAAATCAGCGCTTCCCACTTCCGTCTAGGCATGACCGGACGCGGCCTCCTTGATTCCTCCTTCCAACTCGCGCAGGTCGACTTCAAAACGGGTATGCCGTTAGGCGTTTCCCCGCACCTCGACGATATACCACGCATGTCTCAATACCGCAACCTCTCGCCCAGCGGCGAAAGCGGACTCGCCCTCGACAACGCAACCGGCCGCCTCAAATGCATCTTCCCCGTAGCCGAAGACCTCGACCGCGATGGCCGCCGCGAAGAAGCCGCCGTGTACCAGTGCATCAAAGCCGACAACATCTGTCTCCGCACGATAAAAACAGGTATACCGCAGGGCAAATACAAAGTCCAATTCCTCGTCTCCTTCCACAATAGCACGCATACGCCGCCTCGCGATCTTGTCTTCAGCGTCGGGAAACCGTTTGATCCGTCGACCTTCTCGCAGCGCTATGTCGATGTTAAGATTACGCCGGATGTGGGGAGTGTGCTGTTGCATCCTGACGCTGTGAGGGTCAGGGTCGGGTCGAGACGGTATGAGGAGCTCAAGGGAAAGGGGTGGGCGGAGATTGAGGGGGATATCGAGGTTAGTGTGGGATTGGACGGGGCGTTGGGGTTTATTGTTAGTAAGAAGTATGAAGATGGTGTGTTTGTGGATGGATGGAGTTTTGGTGGTGTGAGGCTGGAGCCGGTGTTCGGGACGGCGGGTGGGGTGGTGACAAGTCCGAGGATTTTGACATGATTAATTGAGCGGGCGTTATGGGAACGCTGTCTCGGCGAGTGGTCGGTAATCGCTCGTCGACTTTCGATGTTTACAAGCTTTGTTTCGATTCTCTTTGCCGGGCGTCTGGAGGAAGTTATGACGAGCGCAAGGTTTGAGGTAATATTTATCAGACGAATTATAGACCATGTAGTTTACGTGTCATAGCAGCGAAGCGCATGTTTGTTCAAGAAAACAAGAACTTTTATTGAACTGTCTACTGTTTCTATTATTGAGACACACCCTATGCAAACACCGAACAGTGCCGATACGTGTGTTAAAGAGCGACGATAGTTGATATTATCGTGTGACGACAAGCCCTACGATTGGCTTGGCTAGCGTTGACCAGTGAGATCCATTCGACGGTGTCTGCATGTATCAGGAGCGAGATCCCGATGCTCAGAGTGTGGGGGAAGCAGTCGGGCAGGTGGTAACGCTGACGGTGTTGAAGACGGTGGTAGGCACGCTTGTGGTGGAGGTGATCGTAGCAGAGGCAAGAGTGAAGACCGTCGCTGTAGCGGTACCGGAGACGGGTGTCGAGGTACTATCATTGATAAGCGAGTGCATGACGGAAGCAAGGAATACAGTACTTACGTGGTAACGGTAGTCCTGGCAGTGGCAGTCGAAGTCGCAGTGACTTGAGCCTGAGTGAATGTGAAGTCAGGACCGAAGAAGCCAGCACGCTTCTCCAACTTCGCCTTGGAGTCGTCAACCGCGGCACGCTTGTTCAGCTTCACCTTGGGAGCGGCAAACGCGACGCGCTTGCGGTGAAGTTTGAAGGTGGAGCAGCCGGAAAGCTTGCGTCCTCCAATGATATTCGAGTTAACGCGGACGTCACCGATGCTGCCCTTCATGTAGCAAGCACCAGGCTGTCCAATGACCCAGGAGACATTGACACAGCCAGTAGTGTTGTCACAGGCTTGGAGACATTGCTCGTATGTGTCGGTGTACACGAGACCGTTTTGAACTAGGAATAATATTAACTTGTGCGTGTTACAACGATGAACAGGGGAACTTACGGTCATTGCCGAAGCGGTCAGAGCTGCACTCGACAGCATATACTGCGCCACATAACGTTGTGACCATTGAACCATTGGAACCAGGGCAGCTAGTAGCGCCTGTTGGGCTCGCAGCAGGAGCGCTCGATGATGCAGCAGGAGCATTCGATGCAGCAAGGGTGCTTGATGATGCAGCGAAAACGCTAGCAGGTGTGCATGCGCACTGGTATGCTGTGTTGGAGATCGTCGTAGTGACAGTAACGGTAGAGGGTCCGGGAGCGGGCGCAGCTGAAGTAACTGGAGCTGAGCTTGCTGCTACTGCCGAAGAAGAAGAGGAGACAGAAGAGGAAACACGGGATGAGGTAGACACAGGCGAGGAGGCAGCCACGGATGAGGAAGCAGCCATGGACGAGGAGGCAGGTGCCGCCGAGGATGCGGCCGCAGACGAAGAAGCGACAGCAGACGTAGACGCAGGTGCCATCGAGGATGCGGCCGCAGAGGAGGAGGCAGACGCCATGGATGAAGCACTGGTTGCCGACTTAGTTGAGATGCTGCGGACCAGTCTTCCACCAATAATGTTGCTGTTCGAACCGGCAGCGTTGGCTGCGCTCTTCAGGTAGCAAGGACCGTTAATAACGTAGCTGGCAGCGACACAGCCTGAAGTGGTAGAACAGTCTGCCAAGCAGCCCTCGTAGGAGCTGGGGTAGGTCGGGCTCATTGGGCCCGGAATATCGCCACCCTGGTAGTCGGCACCGCACTGAACTAGATATTGCATACCATTGACAGTGACAATAGAGCAGTCGGATCCAGGGCAAGAAACACTAGCGCCTGAACTGGCAGCAGAGCTGGAAGATGAACTTGCGGTGACGACTGTGGTGCTGACAACTGTGGTCGTGGCGACTGATTGGGAGGAAGCGCCTGCAGAAGAAGCGATCATCGAAGAAGATGAAGACACAGGGACTGATGCAATCCTAGCACCCCAGACACCACCGTTGGACCTAGGCGCACCGACACCGCTCTTCAAGTAGCAAGGGCCGTTTGGCAGGTATGAAACGGCCTGGCAGCCAGAAGTAGCTCCGCAAGCTTGGATACACTGCTCATAGTTCGCAGGGTTACCAGGCGCAACACCGATATCGGAGTTAGTGCGGTCGATGAAGCACTCGACGACGAAGTCTCCTTGAGGGGTGGTGAACGTGGCACCATCGCTCGCGGGGCAAGACAAGGCAGACGCAGATGGCGACGCGCTGGCTGAAGTGATGGTAACAGAGCTGGAAGCAGGGCTTGAGGAAGCAGGGCTGGAAGACGCTGGGCTTGAAGCCGGGCTTGAAGAAGCAGAGCTCCAAGCAGGAGTGGAAGCTGCTGGGCTCGATACAGGGCTTGAAGAAGCAGAGCTCGAAGCAGGAGTGGAAGCTGCTGAGCTGGACGCAGCGCTTGAAGAAGCGGGGCTTGATGCCGGGCTCGAGGAAGCAGAGCTGGATGATGGGCGTGCAGATGAACTAGAAGAAGCGGCCGAGGATGATGCGGCCGGAGTGGAGCTCGGTGTCGGAGTAACCGTAGTCACACTTACGACGGTAGTAGTAGCGACGGAGGCTGAAGAGGGCGATGGGATAGAAGACGGTGAAGCGGACGAGGGCGACACGATAGGAGCGGAGCTCGATGGAGTAGCCGTAGTGACGCTTACCACTGTGGTGGTCACGACAGAGGCTGAGCTAGGTGAAGGGATAGCGGAAGGTGTAGAAGATGAGCTCAGGACTGGCACAGCAGATGAGCTTGGCGATGGAACGGAAGACGCGGCTGAGGACGAGCTCGGCGATGGGATAGCCGAAGGCGAAGCAGATGAGCTTGGCGAGGGAACGGGGGAAGGCGAAGAAAACGAGCTTGGTGACGGGATGGAGGAAGGTGAAGAGATGGAGCTCGGCGTTGGCGTGACTGTCGACATGACGACCGTGGTGGTAGTAGACACTTGTGCCGACGATGATGGTACAACCGGGATGGAGGATGATCGGGAAGACGATGGCACAATGGGTGCTGGAGACGAGCTAGAGGAACTCGGTCGAACGGATGTCGGGCAGACAGTGAAGGTCTGTGTGATAGCACTGGTGACCGGGAATGTGGAAGTAGCGATGTTTGTCTGTGTACTCGTGGCAGACGCGGAAGAGACTGTAGTAGTCGCCGCAGGCCTAACAGGTGCGAACGCAGTGTTGGTAGCAGTCGAAGTCGTCTGGACAAAGCTTGTAGCCACAGTGCTTGGGGAAGGCTGGTCACCGAACGCAGCAGTGAAGGCACGGGGAGTGGCAGCGAACGGGTTAAGGAACGCATAGTTATCGATCGTATAACGACCCATGTTGACCCAGTCGTAAAGGTCGGCATCCTGACAGAAAATGCCTGTATAGGTTGCCGGCACGCCTTGGGTTTGGTAGGAGCAGGTGCGGGTGTACAATAGCAACGGGTTGGAAATGATGGGCGTGAATGTAGGCCTAGTTCCTTGATAACAGGTAGAAGTACCAGACATATAAGTCATCTGGATACCGAAGTTGTCGCCAGATCCAAAGCTATGCCTAGCTCGATCATAACTGAAGGTTGGGGTGGCCGACCCAATGAGGGACGGCAAACCCGCGGCAACGAGCGAGCAGCCTGACATGTCGGCTGGCTACTGAAGATGGAGCGAATTTAGGAGAAGAGCGAAGTTGCACAACGAGTGATTCCTGAATGCAGAGAGCAGGAGGATGCTCTTTTATGAATCCCTACCTTTCAGCTACGCGGTTACTCAATATGATGTAGTCATGGACTCTAGAGGGGTCAAGAGACCCTGAACCACCAATTGGTATCGCACGCCATGGAGTTAATCCGACAGGAGGCTTCTCCTCACGATCGATATTCGGTATGTGGATGAGGGGCCGGCTGGTGAGGTCGTGAAGCATGCCATTGCTTCCACCTGGGTCGCGCGGTAGGAACGCTAAACATTTTCCCAAGCAGGCTGAGAAGATGCACGGATTTTTTTCGCGATTGGGAGTGTTGTACGTCTAGGTACACCTGTGTTCCTGAGGTGCGGTGTGTCGTTCATGGCACGAAACCCTTCCAAAGTTGGAAGACGCGTTTGGCAGCACGGACCGCCGCTAAGCTTATAGCGCAGGGGCTCCTTCGTCATCATCATGCCCGTTCACCCAGTCCGGCTCCATCTCGTCTCGAAAGGTTCACAATCACATCCTCTATCATAACTTCTGCTTTTGATAAGGATTTCGGTTCGGCTGGGCTGCCGTCTTACGTACTGTATATGCCATCTTGCTCGAAGGCGAATCTCCCCATCACCGAAGAATCCAATCTGCCAAACGAACTCCAACCTCGAAGGGTCTGTCGCCGAAGATCGCATCATGAACGATCCCTGCGTCTCTGCAACCTTTCACATATGTTGGTAGACTAAAAGAAAACCACAATACCACCCATATGCAGCCCGCATACCTTGCTAATGCAGGTCCAATATTGTCATGGCCGGCCCCTCGGTACCGTGCCTGAACAGCCATCCATTGCACAACACCCTCGATGGTGATAGCTACCGGCTGGGACATGAAGAATGCGAGTTCTCCCATGTCTCTACGCGTTACCATAAACATTTGGAACTCGTGCACTAAGCAGCTAATCGCGAAAGACACATAGAGTTGAACTAGTCCCGATGCGAGACTGCCTTTGCGGATACCCAGGAGGCGAACAATGCGAGATGCGGGTTGCGAGACCATCTGCAATACACATTTGCGTTAGCGAGGCTTGCACATTGCAGATGGTTGAAATACTGGAATCGACGTAAAAGTGGCATGAGGAGTCAATCCTGACTTTACCTTTCTCATTGTTTGGTGGTAGACCACACTCCAGACCTGCCTCACAGACCACGCATCCCTCAACTTTCCCATTAGCGGGGGCCATTGCCACGTTTCGCATACCCCGCTTCCAACGGATACAGCCGCCATGAAGCTGTAAGCGAAGTTCAATCTGTCCCAGACCCATATCGCACCGGACCAACCAATGAGTGCATCGACCATGAGGTGATAGGGGTGGGCTTCCGATGACAGCCGTACCTCCGCAGCTGAACCCCATCCAAGCAGCACGAGCATGGCCATAGACCGCAAGTACGCGATCAACATCTTTCGGACATGTCTGGCCACAAAGGTCCGTCTTGAAAGACCTTCGTACAGACCGTCAGGAACACCTTTGACCTGCCAGTTCCAGCCAATACCACGATGCGACGGAACCATAAGTGAACACACCCGGAGAACTTTCTGCCGTGTCAAGCTCATGTCGTCCACGGCTCTTTCGCTCCTAGTGTCGCTGCGCTTCGGGTTTCCAATGTATGCAGGGGCATTGGGCCCTTTCTGTGGAGCCAAAATGGCGAATTCGAGGAACCAGAGAGGCACAGCAATGAAGAACGAGCTGTTGTAATAGTCGGCAGAGGGGTTACCGAAGGTATAGCATGGTGACCTAAGGCATAGGTCTAGAATCAGTGGGAATATGCAGATGGCGATCCGACGTCGGCTGGAAAAGAAGAACCGGAAGATGGTAAGGACAAAGATCAGTGGTTGGTAGAGTGGCGGCATGAGCTTTCGGTCGGCGAGCTGTGGCCAAGAGTACCAAAGTAGCGTCATGCTCTCCATCGTCTTCCGCATGTTGGCGTTAATCGTTTCAGGAATAGCCATTGTCACACTTCGCGGGCTACAAGAAGAAGTTCCGGCGGGGCTCGCCAATTTGTGAAGTCGCATTGATCAGGCCACCAGCCTTGGACCGCGTCGAAGGATCCGAGCTGACGTAAACTCTGCCTGCTAACTATTGCTATGGCCCGTTTTATAGGTAAGGCTAGGACAGATAGCTTTCTCCGATCTCCCATCCTCTTCTTCGGACACCCTCATTCTCACATGCTTTCCACGTATCCACCATTAATACCAACTTATGCCTAGTCTCTTTATTGACGATAGCTCGGTCCTCCTTCAACTCGTCCCCCACGAGTTGAACTAGTGCCCAGGCAACTTCGACCTTCAACAAGTCCGGTGCTGTCAACCAGCTCAACCTTGTTTTACGAATGTCGCCTACGTAGGTCGCCGTCAAGATGCGATTGTTCTGGAGACGATCGTGCAGCAGATTGTGTTTATCGTAAATGTATAGAGATGTGCCGAATCGCTTTTCTCCCCTTCCGCTGCCCTTGGAAGACACAATGTCAGTGGCAAGGTAGGCATTTAGGTCTCGAAGGGCTTGATGGTAGACTGGCTGGCTACTCATCTCATCGATGATCGCCTCCAGCTGACCGGCAAAGAGCGTGCATTTCTGTTCCCGAGTCTCTTCTCCTTCATCGCGCGAAGGCCATGGATAATCGAGCAGGAGAAGACGCCAGGAAAAGGTATCAGGAAGGACCGAAGGCTCTCGGGCTGGGTCGCGCTCCCATTTTCGGTTGCGCAAGTTGTTGACGTAAGACACCATCGCTACTAGGATCGGTTTGCCGTGCTGTAGCCACCAAGACTCTGCGATATATTTGCCACTCAGCAATCTATCATAGAAGCCTTTCGTAAGGCTGGTGTACGTTGGCCCGTCGTTGAATACAAACGTCGTGAAAATATTGAGACATTGCTCTTGGATGAGTTTCGGTGTAAGAACTGTATCGTCGGAAGAGTCCACCGCGTATTCTAGAAGTTCGATGAAGTCCGCAGAAAAGCGACCATTCCGGAGACTGCGGTCTTGCCCAAATAGTCGTATCCATGTTTGAACTTCGGGAACTGAAGCTAGTGCAGGATCAGCGACAAGCCCCTCATTCATGGCTCGCAAAGATGCCGGAGGTCCGATGATAAAGCACAGGTATTCCACATATTCTTCCAGTATAGTATGCGGTACATAAGCCGGCTTCTTGTTGTTCTCGTTTAGTAGAAGCCTGTTCACGTACGGGTCTCGCGGGATGGATGGGATGCGAACGTCCATAAGCAACGCATCTTCAAGCCCGTACTTTCGGAGAAACAACGCTGCCCATCTCGTCGTATGATCTCTGAGGTTCTGCAGTACCGGCATCAAGACTCGATCTACGAATTGCTGGAACTCGACCGTATCGTTCTTCTTGTTACAGAAATATTGGATCAGAGCCACCAAAACCGGTGATTCTGACCCTTCCTCGAGCGGGATGCCGGCTTGAATCTCGGGGAGCGTAAGGTCTTGTTCGCACTGCAGCCACTGCGTTTCGTCCAGCGGCTGTTTTTCGTTCAAAGATCCAGCTATTGGTATGAACAATTCCAGGAGAGCAAGTACTGCGCGAGATTGGTCTCGAGAGCCATTCTCAAGCAGTACCAAAAGACTCTTGACGATATTGAGTCTGACGTCCACATGGGTGTTCATTTTTGAGAGTGTCGATAGCACTGAAAGAGCGTAGTCTGTTCCGTTCAAGTCAAGGTCCTGGAAAACCTGAACCAACATCTTAATCGTAGTGACTTTCACATGTGGCTCGCCAGTAGGTCGCGCAACATCGCCCTCTACTGAGCTCTCTTTGTTCATGTTTCTGGTCTGTACCATGTTGATAATCTCATCGGAAAGAGATCCAATGCAGGATCTGGCCTGCGACGCCGGAAGTCTTCGGAGGAAACTCGGTTTTAGTAGGATGCGATGCCATGAGCTCGACTTGGGCCTATCCAGGATTGTACGGACAGCTGACTGCGTGGCCAAGCCAGGTCTATCACTTTCGCCCAGTCGAGCAATGAGCTGCATAGTGACCTCATGCAGAGCTGTATGGCTGTCGGATTCTTCAACTGTGTCCGCATGATCAAGAGCTTTGACGAGGTTTCGTGAAAGCTGTGCCAGCAATGTAGGAGGTATCGTATCGAGATGACCGCGTATGGCTCTGGAAGCTGTAAACTGATTTGGCTCATCAGAAGTGAGGAACTCTTCGTCCAAGTATACAGCCGGGTATCGCGTGTCTGTTTCCGAAGGAAATGGGGTCGCTAGAAGGCGGTCGCTCTTGACGAACTTTGCGTCGAGATACAGCAGAGCCGATAACACGCCACCTTCTCCCATATCGCGCGATGAACTCCAGATAAGCCTAGCGTCCTCTTCGTGGCCGGGAACTTTGACTGGTGCTGCAACAATGGGAAAGTTCACACGGCTTCTTGAAGTCATGATTCTCGATACGCCAACTGAGAAGTCCACATAAGTCGGTGCATCAAGTTCCCGCTCGACAAAATCCGGTCTTGTCGCAAAAGGGTTCCATTCACATGGCTCACCCGAACCGTCATCCTCAGGTATCATTGGCCAAGACTTCTCTATATTCCTCATCACGCCCTCAGGCGGCCACTCATCCAAATCG